TTTTAGTGTGTCTTCAATATGTATATTCTTTATTCTATAGTTTACTGACAAGGGTCCTACTGGATTTGATCTTTTATCATGGTAGAGTGGGTTAAGAATCACTCATGGCATACTCAAGAAAATTTGTGCACACCAAGTAAAGTTTTGATTCTGACTTGCTTTCCTATAATGATTTAGTGGATGAATATATTTCTAACTTAGGGTATGAGTCTAACAACTGATAGTTAATGGTCCTTCTGGTACATACTATGAAATAAAAGGTGATTATGGCATTAGGACTTTATTGGACTTTGTTAACAACCAGTTTAATGTTATTAACATATTTGTTGTAGAGGCATGTGAGCCAAGTATTAATATACCTAATATAATCTATCATAATGAGTTTGATGAACCTGATGAACTTGAAGCTGCCACTGATTGTGATGAAAGTGATAAGACCAAAGAGTATCTTAGAGGCAAGGACAAGACTCCAGTTGAGACAACAAAATGTACTAGATGCAACCATGCAAATTGGATTTGTTGGTGATTCAAGCGGTGTAAGTCAACCATCAAAGCTTACTTTCTCAGCAAAGGAGCTAACATGGCTGAAAAATTCTGCCATTACTGAAAATTAGTTGAACAAACAAAGGTTGACCAAGTTGCAAGCAAGAATGGGTCGTGGTAAGGAGTAGAATTGATGAAAATCTGCTTCTAGTGAGCTTCTTTTATGATGTCAATTTTTAAAAGTGTTGTAATTACTGCCATGACAGTAAATTTTATATTTTGGTTGTGGTTCTTTGGTTGTGATAGTTGGATGCCATATTATAACTAGGTGTTGACATCTTTTTGGGTTATAATATGGTATCCACTTGTCTTATTAAACACACATTATGAATGTTGATAGTTGGTACATTATGAATCAAGATGAATATTTGTTGATGAATGTTCAATTCATTATTGTCCGTTTTGTTCTCTTTTCAACTTCAGTTATCCAATTATATCCATTTTTACGACTGGCATGTAAGTTTTCTACTTTTACATTTGCTGCTATCTTTTATGTCAAATAAATTGGATTGAAAGTAATTAAATGACTTAGTTCAATATTCAACATGACATTTAAAACAATCAAATATGCAACACATATACTACTAAGGGAAATCAACGAATACTACACTATCATCATACACTAAGGGAAAAAATTGACCAACAAATACTACTATACGAACATCATCGAACCTGCAGCACATGGCTGGAAAGCAAATACTACTACTGTGACAAATACTACTACACCATAGCATAATTGACCTAAAAGTCAGCTACAGATATATAACTCAAAATCAGCAACCTTGTCTTCGCAAAAAAGTCACTTCATCATTGAGGCTACAAAGAAATCAAGAAAAGTTCCCAAGAAATTATAAGCAACATCCTTGTCTTTGCAACTTTATATTCCAACTTGATGACTTTATTCACTTCATATTGGTGTATAGCCTTCATGGCAATTACTTCTTCCTTCAATTCGCCCCTTTCCATCTTAACCTCATCTATCGACGATATTACATCTTTAATATTAGTCCAATCACATTGCGGGAAGATTTTATCTTTTCATTCCTAAAACCCACATGAACTAGGCTGTCAAACATAATTTAAAAAGATCATTTAGCTGATCATTACAAAACTCTAAACTTGTAGATTCATAATTACAATAAATTCTTGTTTAAAAAAGAGAAAACTGAAATTAAACAACCTTAGGCCTCATACATTTGTACAATTTTCTTCCGAGGTTATATAGAGTCGACGAAGTGAAGTGGTTGGCTATGATTCCACAATGACACCTAATATGTGATGAACAACTATCTTGCGATATTTATGAACCAAAGATACGAGGAGAATGAAGAAGAGAAATTTTGGCAAGATTTCAGTCGAACACTAAATTCTAAGCAATGGAGTGTCTTTTGGGGGAGAAGAAGAAACCGTTGGGTATGAGCCACTATTTTCACAGTGAAATGGGTCAACAAAATTTGGGAGTGAAATTGGTCATATCAAACTAGGCTTTCAACTTAATGGAAAGCTGACTTGGAATCCTATGTGGAAAAATTTTGCGGGGTCAGGAGCCACAGTGGCCATCCATTAGGATTAGGAGCAGTTCTATCATGTTTGTTAACGGTAGGGCGGATTTTGAACGTAAAGTGAAATGGAAGTTCAAACATATACTATTTACATTAGTACATGAGCAATAATGGTCTTTTTCCCTTCTTACTAATTGTTTCCTGAGAGTCAATAGTATTGCTACTTATGTTGTTCCCAACTTCTCATTTGTGCCATCCTCGATTCGTCACAATCCAAGTCTTATTAGATAAAATCAAGAAATAATAGCATTTATGATATCACAAAAAACACAAACCTCATGAAAGAAACTAAGTTTAAAATTAATGATATATCTATTTTGATACAACAGTTTAGTCAAATACTTTGAAAAGTAATGAAGATGAGTCACAACTTCATTAAAAGTTGAGTCACAACTTCTTTAAAAGTTATTGAAGCCCACTTAAGTATAAATTTGAAAATTTAGATTTCGGAAATTGAAATTTGTATCAAGTGGGTATTATTGTAATAATTTGTGTAAATCTCAAGGAGTTTGAATTTTAGTTTTGGAAAAATTTGATAGATATTTAAGGTAGTTTGAATTAGAATTTAAGCCAAATAAAGTTCTTTAAACTAGAATAATGATATTGACAAGTAGGGCTGCTTATCAGCAAATTGGGCAGATATTTATGCTTAGCGGTTCAGTTTATCAGTTATCGGCTTATAGAAGTACTAATTCGCTAGCCACCCTATAACATATCGGGCGGACCGATATCGGATTAGCGATTATCGAGCATTTATTGGCTAAATCAAATAGACAATAAAAATTACATAAGTAAGCAAGACAGTAGATAATAGATAGACGATCTAATCGCAATCACACTCCAGTGCACTAATGAACCTCATTGTTAATGACCATTTTTTCTTCTTTAATTCTTTTACAACAAGCAACTAGAATACAAATTGAGGATCTTTAACTAATAATAGAAGTTCAGTTAACATTACTTTTGCTTCAATTATCAAGTTAAATGATTTATTTGAGTAGAAAGGTAACAAGAACTATCTATATCAGTCTAGTCCTACCCCAAAAATAAGTTATGATGACATTGAAGCTCAAGCTGCTAAGAAGCTGTTTCATAATGGGTAAAAATATAAATATAACAATTCTTAACGGGTTAATGGTTTATCCGATAAGAAAATTGAGTAATCCTCCCCCGAATCGATGGACCATTAATTATAAAATTTCAATTCGTTTCCCAATTGTTAATCCGATAACCCGATACCAATAAGCCAATAAGCCACTTTACAGTTCGGATTTAAACAACCCTATTGACGAGTAGGAGAGGAAGCATATAAAGTTCTTTAAACTAGAATCTTTCTCTCCTACAGAAAAGAGAAAAATCGCTCGACTATCTACTAATCAGCTACCCTATTCCTTGACCTTCATGCTCTCATATCTAGGGTCATGGATCAATGTCCTCGTTGATCTGAAGATGTGTCATGCCCTGTTTAATCATCTCTCCCTAATTTTTTCTCGGTCTTCCTCTATCTCTCCTTAGATTTATCACTACCAACCTCTCGCACCTCACTGGAGCAATTGCGCTCTTTCTGTGCACTTGCATGAACCATCTTATCTTCGCTTTTCGTATATTATAGACTACGATGGATCTTACTAGACGTTATAAATATTTTTGATTAGTATATACTCCCTCCGTTCAAATTTATGTGAACCTGTTTGACTGGGCACGAAGCTTAAGAAAAAATGAAGACTTTTGGAATTTGTGATCCTAAGGGCATCTCCAATCTTTACCCCATTTTGGGGACAGCTTACTCCAACCATTCCCCCATTTTTTCCCCAAACTTTTTTATATTCTTATCTCTCTTCTATATTATATTATTATCTTTCATTTCATTTTTTAATTTCCATTAAACAAATTCCATCTTTTATTTTTATTAATTTGTAATTTTCATAATTAAAACAATTCCATAAAATTTTAAATAATATAATTTGTAAGCAATTATTATAGATTAACTAATAATTCCAATAAAAGTGAAATCATTGTGATACAAGATTAATTAAATACATATTGCATAACGATAAAATTCATTCGAAATACTAGATACATATTCAACTTCAACCTCTAGTATTTTTCTATAAATGATCTATTAATGCATTACGAAGTGCAAAATGAGCATCTTTGTCCTTAATTCTTCTATGTTGAAATAAAAATTCTTGAAATCGTTGATTTCATCTACTGCCATTTCTACATAAAAATAATAAATGCACGAAAATTAATTTATTAAAATTATACACCAAAGTTAAGATATAATATTAATATTATAAATACATTACATAAACATAATTAGGTATATATAAAGAGATAAATTAAAAGACTAAATAATAAAATAATAATAAAAAGTGATGAATAGTAATGGAGGAGATGAATAGTGTACCGCCATATTTGAGGGAACACTATTCATTCCCCATTTTGGGGACAAAAATAGGGAAGGGTTGGAGCTAAATTCCCCCAAATATTTCCCCCATTACGGGGGATAGGGGCAATGTTGGAGATGACCTAAATAAGTCAAAAAGGGTCCAGAATATTTGTGTGGTTATAAAAGTTTCTCATTAAAAGTAGAATTGTAAATTTAAACTAAATTATTACCAAATTTAAAAAGGGATCATTCTTCTTGAAACAGACCAAAAAAGTTCACATAATTTGAAAAAGAGGGAGTAGTATTTAAAGTCAAAAACTTGATGTGGTCATAATTCACATCTGAAATACAATTTCGGTGGAAAATATAAGAGGTTTAAACAAGTTGGTAAGCTCAAGAAATTGATATGCCATAATGACGTCATAGACCGAGACGCGAAATCCAATTACTTAAAAGCCCATAGACACTAGAGCCATCTCCGCCTATAAAAGAATGGGTTTTTCTACATCAATTTCACCCCATCTCTTCTTTCTGATATTTTCCTTTAGGGTTTATCCTCTTCTCTCTTTTCTCAGTGTAGTAAAATGGCTGAAGTAGAATACAGTTGCTTCGTCGGTGGGCTCGCATGGGCTACCACCGATAGAACCTTAGCTGATGCTTTCGGTACATACGGCGAAGTTCTCGACTCGAAGGTCCGTTTGTTGCGCAGAGCAGAAATCGAATCCGGGCCCATTTTTTGGCTTTGTTGATGACCTTCTGTTACTGATTACTGTTTATTAATCTCTGGTTTACTTGATTCATCTGTTACTGTTACTGTTACTGTTATTACTGTTATACCCTTGAAACGGTACGTTCCGTCTTTTTTCTCTTTTTGTCAAGAGATGAAGATAGATCGGTTAATTATTTTGCGTGTAAACGTTGTAGATCTGTTAGATCTGAGCTTAGTTTTGTTTTACTTTTATTTTTCAGATCATTAACGACAGAGAAACTGGCAGATCTAGAGGATTTGGCTTTGTTACCTTTAAGGATGAGAAATGCATGAGGGATGCAATCGTAAGGATGAACGGTCAGGAACTTGACGGCCGTAGCATTACCGTTAACGAAGCTCAGGCTCGTGGAAGTGGAGGCAGCGGCGGTGGTTACGGAGGTGGCCGACGTGAAGGAGGAGGCGGTGGTTACGGAGGTGGTGGTGGTGGCTACGGAGGTGGCCGACGTGAGGGAGGAGGCGGTGGCTACGGAGGTGGCCGACGTGAAGGAGGAGGCGGTGGTTACGGAGGTGGCGGTTATGGCGGTGGTGGTCGTTATTAGATTAAATTTACTTAATTTTGGCCTATTGTTAAATTGGCCTTTAGATTAGTATCCATTACTGTTTTAGTGTGGTTGGTGTTATTGTCCTTTATATTTGGTTAAGATACTGTGAATCTGTATTTTACAAAGTTCCATGGAATCAAGTAAATGATGGTTTACGAAATAACTGTGTCGGCTTCTTAGTTCATTACTAGTTGAGGAACTCTCTTATATTCATTACTTTTTAAATGAAGTTTAAAGGATTAAATTAATTGAGTTATTAAAGAGTGAGTACTTGATGATAGTATTAGAGCCTGTTTGGATATAAGATTTTTTTTACTCTTTTTCGATTTTTTTTATTTTTTTTGAAATTATTATTTGCCGATGAAATTTACATTTCTTACGTTTTCTGAAAATTTAAAAAATTCGAAAAAATTGATTTTTAAAATTTTACTTATATTAATTATAAAATTTTAAAAACAACTCAAAAGTATATTTTATGTTCAAACGCAATTTTTTTTTTTTTTTTTGGAGTTTTACAATTTTTATGTTCTAACGTCCAATTAGTAGAAGACAATTTATTGGCTTTTAGTAAAATAACTACTTGTTCATAAATTATTTTAAAATATAAGTGTCTGATTGAGGCAATATTGTATAGTTATCTCAATAGTTAAAGATTCAGCGTCAGTCAGATATTTATCTCGATAGTATAGTAGAAGATAATTCATCGGGTTTTTAGTAAAATATCTACTTGTTCATAAATTAATTTAAAATATGCGTGTCTATTGGGGCAATACTGTGTAGTTATCTCAATAGTTTAAGATTCAGCGTCAGTAAGATATTTATCTGGATATTAGCAGTCAGATATTTATCTCGATATTGGATTATTTAGGCCCATAATATTTTTCCTTTTTTTTTTGTTAAAAATATGTTTGTTCATAGAATTTTACAAGTTTTTTTTAAATATTTCGAAAATAACATTCAAAAATCAAAAAGTGATCACCTTTCCAAAAAATTTAGGAATTTTTGTTGCGTACTCACTAACCTGCAATATTTTTCAGTGAAATGCATGTTCAAATATTATTTTTAATACAAATATTAGTTTTTGACTTGACTTCAAATATTACCTTTTTTTTTCCCCAAAAAATTATGGAGTAATCTTTATGTCCAAACGCCTGCTTAGTATTACTGTTTGATTCATCGGATAACAAATATAACATATTATGTAAATTTGAAATATATATTTGGTTTGAAGATGGATAAAGCTGAATAAAATTTGTTGTTACCAAATTTAATCATAAATTTTAGTGGCTTAGATATAAGAAAAATCTCGATGTTTTCAATAATTTTCTGGTTGCAAAAATCATGCTCCTTAGTCCAATAATAGGTCTGATGCCTGATAGAATCAGTTTAACCAAATATAGAAATGAGATATTCTAGTTTCAAGTTATATGTCGTAGTTTTTAAAAATAGTTATCTCAAATTATGTTATTAAAGCTCAAAACTAAATTAATTATTCTTTTCCTATTCTGATTTTAGTATTAATTGTTTTGAAGACACAAATACCTCAATTATGAGGGTAAAACATGTTGGGAATAAATCCTCTAGAGTAATAATATTTATGGTAATAAAAGCGGAATAATAATGTAGCACTGAGAAACGATAATCAACAAGAATAAAAGAGTGACAACGACACCAGGATTTTTACGTGGAAAACCCCTCTGAATAAGGGGAAAAGCTACGACCCCGAGAGGAGCAACTGATATCACTATAGCAAGGAATTTTACACTTTGTAGGTCCGAGTAAA